CATGACATGGGTGCACTTACCTACACACAGGCAATACACGCATACACATAAAATTTTTTAAAAAATTTTTTTAAAAAGCCAGTCACTAAATCTGTCAGTTCCAGACATCCATCCACAGAAGCATCTCAGAATGTCATGAAGGCAGCCTCAGTTGGGGTTTACATGAACGCAGGAAGGACCATAGAGCTTCTGCGTACTTGGATTTCCCTTTTTGATTCTGACCCAAAGGGAACACACTGTACATTAATTCAAGTAGGGATACAGAACAGTGAGTTCCCTTATTCAGTTCTTCTTACCTGGCTATTGAAGTGATGATCCACCACCCTCACCCTGCAGTATTATCTTCAGTCTGCCAGGCCCTGCGCTCAGGCACAAGAGATGGTTCTAGGCCTGCTAGAGTGCATGGTCTGGCAGAAGTGGAAAGGCCACAGGCACAGATAATGGACACATGGAAGAGTAAGTTAAGTGTTATGACAGAAGCCCAGAGTGCTGTGAGAGCAGAAGAAAGACTCGAAGTAAAAGAACTAGGAACCAGACATGTCTCTGTGAAGTGAAGGATTTTGTTGCATTAGGAACCATTCCAGAGAGAAGTGAGTAATTCAGACCCACAACTAGAGGGTAGACCAGGAGGGCTATGTTTGGGGATGAGTGAAGAGTTCTGGGAGCTGTCGAGGAGGATTCTAGGACAGAGGAAACCTAGAACCCAACAGTAGATTCTAAAGAGGAAGGGTTTGGCCAAGGGTATAGCTCAATGGTAGAGCAGTTGCCTAGTATGTGCAAAGTCTTGGGTTTAATCTCCAGCACTATAAAGAGCAAAGATTTCAATATGCTGGTCAAAAAGGTTTGAGCCAAGTTCAGCAGGAAGCATGGCAGCACCACACTCTCTTTACTTGTGGGTTTATGTATTCATTCACCTCTTCTCCATTCCATTAACATTTTTAGTTCTATGTGACGAGCACTAATCCAGATGCAGAGAAGAGCAAATTATGACACAGTTTCTTTCCTCCAGGAATCACAGTCTGGTGGAAGAAGCAAGCAATAGGACATAGTACTCATAACAATCGCTACCTGCTGTAAGAACAGAATTAAACAAGTGACTGGTTATACGTAAAGGTATAGAAATGGCTTTAAGGGATGAGCTTCTGTGCGTTTTTTAAAAAATACTTATTTTATTTTATGTGTATGAGTGTATTGCTTGCATGTAGATAGGTGCACCTGTGTCATGCAATGCCCATGGAGGTCAAAAGAGAGCATCAGGTCCCTGGAACTGGAGTTATGGACAGTTGTTAGCCACCATATGGGTGTTGGGAATCTAACCTGGCTCTTCTACAAAGCAGTTAGTGCTCTTAACCAGTGAGCCATCTCTTGAGCCACTCTGTGCCAGTTTTGAGAGATCTGTACCTTACCAAGTTGAATTTACCAGGTTAGAAGTTTCCAGTCAAATGTGGTAGTGCACACATGTAATCACAACACTCGGAAGACCAGGACAGGAAGACTGTGAGTTATAAACTAGTGTGAGCTACATTAAGATCCTGTCTCATAAAAAAGAAAAAGCCTCTACACACAGCAAACAGCACAACAGAGCCTAGTGGCTCAACTCAGTGGGGCCTGAGCATTGCAGTTTGGTGAATGCCTTCTAGAGTGTCACAGAGAAATGTTTGGAATTTACCTAGATGTTTGAGTCCTAAGGCCTGGAGACTGTGGGCTGGGAACACTGAGAAACTCGGTAAAATGCAAAGGATTTTACTGAAGATAAAAAGGAGACTAACTGCCTTTTCACTGATCCAGAAGAAAAATCGGGCATAACTGATTTAGGGAGTGGATTCAGTAGATTCAGTGAAACCTGACCAAGTACTGAGAAATTATATGGATAACTCCTCAGTTTCTGGCTTCCACAAGACAGGAAAGTCAAGACCAGAAAGAAGTTTCAGAAGAAAGATGATGAGTTCACTCTTGAATATGTTCATTGTTACAGTAGGACATCTGTGATGTTCTGCCCATGCCCACTTTAAAATCCTTCAGGCTTCCTGGATTGTCACCTTTTAGTTTTCAGGGGGTGGAGGGATGAGGAGGGCACATATGGCAAACTCTGAACTACACCTCAAACTGATTTAAATAGACACCATTGTATGACTTTATTGTGTACAGTGATGTTTTGAAGTATGTCTTACACCACAGAGTGGTTAGATCTAGCTGATTAACAATTATATTACCTCAGTTATTATTTTCTGTGCGAATGTATAACATTACATTTTTAAGAATTCAGTGTGTCATCAACGACTACAGTCACCTTACTGAACAATAGGTCTCTTGAAATATATCTCTGCTATCTAACTGTAAATATGTGTCCTTTATCACCCCCGCCACCACCCCCAACTTCTGGTAAGTGCCATTACACTCTGCTTCTATGAGATCAGCTGACTTAGATTCCACATGAGTGAGACCATGCAGTATCTTTCTCTCCACCTTACCTTCTGACACACTTTCTCCAACCTGAGCAGCTTACAGATCCTTGACCTTGCCAAGTTGCATTAAACATCTTTGTGCCTTTAACTAGAACATCTTTACCTTGTCTCTCTGTTCTTCCTTGCAGACTCACTTGGAAATGATTGTGAGAAAGCCTTCCCAGCCACCCCACCCCACCACCAGGGAGGGTTAGTTAGCATGTGGCCATTGACAGATTCATTTGCAGGGATGTCACCTCCTCCGCTACTGTGACTCCCATGTACACAGTAGGTAGTATCTCTGTATCCACTGTACCTGGCCTAGATGGGCAGGAGATCAGTGAACATTCATTAAATAAACAAATCTAGATGGGGTATCCAACAGACAGTTGGAAATTCTGAAAATTAAATGAAAAGTATCAAAGACAAATGAATATTCTGCATCTACCCTTGACTTCCCTGCCTCTGCCTTGATATTCAGCTATCCTGGCCCATAGCTGTTGCCTTGGTCATGTATATAAAATTGACTAGGGAGGGAGAAGGAATTCAGAGACCTAGAGAGAAGAGCTGGTAAAGGTTTGGGAACTGAAATGGCACTTTCAGCCATCAATAGCCCAAGTTAAGAAGGAGCCTGGCTAGCACTCCTGGTTTCCTTCATCTTTATAAATTTCTGGACTCTATTTTCTATCACCACCTGCTGGCCAGATCTATAAATAACAAGCTCCCTCATGAGGGCACTACTGGAAGGCATGAGGTGTTCTACTCATGACTTCAGAGGGTTCTAACACAACCCAGGAGAGCACACAGGTCTGGATGCTTATGTATGCCTTGTTCTGGTGAAAGCTCCAAGAGTTTATTACCAAATTTTAGAGGACACCTTTGGGGGCTGGAGAAGTGGTTCAGTGGTTATGATCACAGTTGCTTTTCCAGAGGACCCAATTCAATTCCCAGCACCCACATGGTGACTAATAACCATCTGTAATGCAGTTCCAGGGGGTCTGACACCCTTTCCTGGTCTCTGTGGGCACTGCACAACACAGGTGCATTTATGTACATGGAAGCAAAATGCTCATACACATAAGTGAATTCTTTTTTCTTTTTTTTTTTTTGTCTTTTTGAGACAGGGTCTCCCTGTAGCCCCAGCTGGCCTGGAACTCACAGAGATGAGTTCTGCCTGCCTCTGCCTCCCGAGTGCTAGGATTAAAGGCATGCACCACCATGCCCGGCTGTGAAATTTTTTTTTTTTTTTAGAGACACCTCTGGCCCCCCAAAGGCAAAGAATTACTGCTGAAAGGGTTCATTCCTTTTTTTCCTCAGATGAAATCCTCTGAAGAATTATTGTGTAGATAGAGTTGAAGACGTGGCTCTCTCCTACTCAAACCTCAGCCTCCAATTTGCCAAAGTACTTTTGTAGGACTCAAAATCCAGTTGGACAACCACTCTTATGAAACCAAAGGCTTATGAACCTCTGAGCCAGGTTGAATCTTAGAAATCATTGAGAGCCACTAGGCCACATCTGGAGAGAAGCTTTGATGGTGTTCACGGGTGTGCCCGTAGCAATGCTAGGACCTCACACAAATCGGCCTGTATTAACTCTCCTCCCATTAATGCCTGTCTTATTTCCCACAACTGTAATTTTTATAAAAATACAATTTAAAGACCCTTTTTTCTATTCTGACTATAGTTCCCAAACAGGAAATCATTTTTCCTACATATTTTTTAGGTTTTTATTTAAAAAAAAAAAAAGAGTCCCTTCAACAAACCATAATGCATCATAGAAAATAGACTACAGCTTACATTTAAATTAGTTCTTTATGAGCCGGGCATGGTGGTGCACAGCTTTAGTCCCAGCACTCAGGAGGCAGAGGCAGGCGGATCTCTGTGAGTTCAAGGCCAGCCTGGTCTACATAGCAGGTTCCAGGCCAGCTGGGGCTATAGTGAGACCTGTCTCAACAAACAAACAAACAAATAGACAAACAAATAAATAAAGGTCTTTATGATGTAAGCATCAATGCCCATGAGTTGATTTTATTTCACAGAGGGAAAACTAAGTCTCAGAAAGAAAATGACTTGCTTGCTATTTTCTCCCATAACTTAAGAATTCTTGCCACTGTCTCATAGCCTTTGCACTCAGCTGTGTATGTTGTGTGGTAGTTAAAACAGTGAGCAGGTAGTTGGTGCGAGTGGTTTATTGATGTCTCTATGGGGCCTGTGCATGAGGCTATCCCCAGCTAAGGACAGCTACAGGAGTTGGGGGGCATCACAAAGTTTAACATTGCTAGAACATGTACATGTTAGATGTAGATGTACTACAGTTAATCTTCAAAGTATGTTTTTAATCATCATTTTACAGATGCCTGAAATGGAGTTCCAAGAAGAAAATGTCTTGCTCAAAATCACATAGCTAATACATGGCAGGTCCTAGGCAAACCTTGGGTCTGCCTGACTCCTCAGTTTTTCTCACAACAAATAGTTTCATGATGCTTTGAGCATTCACTTGCCTCTCAAGGGTAGCCCTGGCCTTGTATCACATCCCCTTTCCCTTCTCTCTCTTAGGAGTGCCAGCTTTTCTCAAGGTACCCGGCAGAAGAGTGACACAGCCGTACAAAAACTTGCCCAGGGCAATGGACACTGTATTAACGGGGTCAGTGGTCAAGTCCATGGCTTCTATAGCCTTCCCAAGCCAAGCCGACACAATACAGAATTCAAAGACAGCATGTATGACCTCCCCCGTAGCCTGGCTTCACATGGCCACAAAAAGGGCAGTCTCACAGGGTCAGAGACAGATAATGAGGACGTGTACACCTTCAAGACGCCCAGCAACACCCTGTGTCGGGAATTTGGAGACCTTCTAGTGGACAATTTGGATGTTCCAACCACCCCTCTCTCAGCCTACCAGATCCCTAGGACATTCACACTGGACAAGAACCACAATGCCATGGCAGTGGCTACTCCTGGGGACTCAGCCATAGCTCCTCCACCGCGACCCCCTAAGCCAAGTCAGGCAGAAATACCTCGATGGGGCAGCCCTCAGCAAAGACCTCCAGTCAGTGAAAACAGCAGATCTGTTGCTGCCACCATCCCCAGGCGCAATACCCTCCCTGCAATGGACAACAGCAGACTCCATCGAGGTCAGTATAAGCCCTTGCTAGGACAGAGGGCCAGGGAGGTAGTCTGGGTATTCTCAGTGCCTTGCTAGCCCTTGATCACCCCTATCCAGGGTAAACTTAAAGACTACTCAGGTCAGTGATAGAAGTTTAGGTATCTTCTACACAGCCCCTTTAAGTGGTCCTCCAGCCCAGCTATTGGTGTGATACCCACAGTAGCAAAAGTGGAGATGCCTTGGAGATGTTAGTATTACAAGAACACAGAATATTCTTGTTCTTCTAGATCAACCACAATACAACATATTTTGGGTTTGAAGGTTCAAATCATACTATTCATTTAAAACTCAAACCAAAGATGTACAAGTAAATTTAGAAAACCAGCACAAACTTCTTGAGCCAAACCTATGTGGACTCAACACAAAATGAGATCCTTAGGATACTTTCAAGTAAGCTAGTCCAAAATCTCTGGTTGAAGTCTGAACTCCACTTGAAGCCCCTAAATTCTGTCATCGCTTATTTACAGAATAGATTCCAACTCTGCATATAGCCCCATCTGTTCAGTGAACAGTAGAACACTTCACTTCTGGGCCTTTCTTTAGAGTTTGCAAAACCTCATCTCCCTGCTGTGTAAGCCACACATAGCAGCACAGAGAACAGCCTCAGGCTCCTGGGGCTGGGCACCTGGTTTAGAACTCTTCAGTCACTGAGCAATTACCCTGGGCTTTGAAACTATGTAAGATACAAAATATGTCCCTGCCCTTCAGAGCTCTCATCTGGTTTGGAAAAGAAAACCAACATAAGTAAATGTAATTAGTTAAGTGTCATCACTATAGTATACACAGAGATGAGAGGTGAGAGTGGGCCAGGTGGGAGGTGCTAGAGGAGCTGAAGTCAGGAGGTCCTCTGCAGACACCCACACTGGAGCAGACCTGGAGGTATAGGCAGAGCTTGTGAGGGCTGGGCAGCAAGTAACACCCTGTCCTTTGAGGTGGATAGCAAAGAGACAGGCCACACTGGAGGGGGACAGGAAGAGCTATCATGGGGATCGGTATGAGTGCAAACCATCTTCCTTCCTTCTTCACAGCTTCTTCTTGTGAGACCTATGAGTACCCACCACGAGGTGGGGAGACTGCCGGCTGGTCTGCTGAATCTGTAAGTGAGGGAGTTAGTCCTTTCCTGGTGAGTGGGGTTTGATTAGGGCCCATTAGATCATCCAAGTTAGGGAAGAGGGAGCTGAAAATGCAGCCCCAGAAGAGTGATGGCATCTCCCCAGGGACCCCCACTTATCTCCATCCAAAGTTCTAAGCATAGATTTTTGGCAAGTAAAAGTTTCCCTCATCTGGTCCTAGGCAGACAAGATTACAAGGCTCATCAGCCCTTTGGGTAAGCAGAGGGGTACAGTGCAGCAGACCTACTCCAGGGTAGTGGGTCCTCTAAGGCCTTGCCCTTCAGGTGTCATGTGGAGGAGGAACACAGTAGGATGAGACTCTGAGGAGTGACAGATAACAGCTTATCTCAGGATCTGGGTTGTGTCTAGAAGGGGCTGACCACAGTTGTCCAAGTTGAAGGCAGCTGATCAGGGCTTGGGAAAGACAGTGAGGAAAAGATCCTTGAGGCTGAGTGATCTGTTGCACAATACGACAGATAAAGCATGCGTTGGAGAATGACTGTAGCTAGGGGCTGCTGTACTGTATTGGTTTATGGCTGCTCTGCCTACAACCTGCTATTACCTAAGTGTCTGGAGTGAGCCCTGGCCCAGTGAATGCTGGACAGAGGAAGCATTCCGGCAGACGTCACCTTCCAGGGCCCTGGTCAGGGTCTAGACTGACCTGCCAGTAGTGAATCTTGAGCCAAACTACACCATCTCTGGCCTGGGCTGCCCTCTGCCTTAGCATTCACAAATGAGTAACCCTAGCCACCAAGGATGTTTTATCCTTTGGGTTTATCACAAGTTATAGACAGTTCCCAGGAGGTCCCAAAAGCCAGAAGGGACTCACAGACCTCAGTCCTCCCCTTCTCCCACTGTGCTTCTTCACTTGGTCTTTCCAAGGTTTCCCTTGTTGCTTCAAAGTGTGGCTAACTTTTCTAGTTTGCTTTCTGTAGTTGTGGTAAACGGTGACCAAACAGAACTTGTAGAAGAAAGAATTTACTTTGTGACAGGTTATAGTCCATCCTCAAGGGAAACCAAGGCAGGAATTGAAACAGACTCTGGAGTAATGCTGTTTACTGACACACTCCCTAGCTCACGTTCAGCTACCTTTCTAAATAAAGCCTAGGCCCACCCAGGATGGCACCTACCACCCAGGTGGGCTGGGCAGTTAAGAAAATGCCTCACAGACATGGCTACAGGCCAATCTCATCTGGGAAACTCTTCAGTTGAGGTTCCCTCTTCCCAGGTGACTCTAGGTTTGTGTCAGATTTACAGCTGAAGCTATGACACTAACCAACTGGGACAGTTCACCTTGTACACAAAGTCTCACCTTATTTCTTCTGTTTCTTTCACCCCCACCCCCTTTCTTCAGCCAGGGAAGACTATCGTGGGTCGATCGGACAGTACCAGCTCTGATGACAACTACGTGCCCATGAACCCAGGTTCTTCTACACTGCTGGCTATGGAACGAGCAGGGGACAATTCCCAGAGTGTCTACATCCCCATGAGCCCAGGGCCTCATCACTTTGACCCACTGGGCTACCCATCCACAGCCCTTCCGACACACAGAGGCCCCAGTCGAGGAAGTGAGATCCAGCCACCCCCTGTCAACCGCAACCTCAAACCTGACCGGAAAGGTAAGTGTACACTTTCTTCCATCCCATTTATAGACAGAATTCAGGGACTGTTTGTATTTGCTTAGCTTACCAGGTAGATACTGGACTTGGGGTATATGACTTTATACAAATAACAGAAGTTCTTTGAGCCTCTTTTCTTATTGGTAAAGTGGGAGTGATAATTCAGATTTCAGGATCCTGCATCTGGTCCACATGAGGTGTGCAGTAGTTGATTCATGGCCTGCATGAAGACCAGGAAGAAGTGCTAGAGTCCAAACTCCAGGTTTCAGCTGGGCAACAGCAATTGAAAGGAAAGAGTAGGGTAGCTGACTGGAGAGGAGCCCAGGGGTCTGACCAGCAAAGAATCTGAACCTGTGAAGTCGAAGCTTACAGGGTATTTACCTCCCTCCACTGTGATTTATACAGCTCTGTCCAAAAGCAGCAGGGAGTTGTCATGGTGACCATCTCCATTTCAAATACAGACTCTGTTTTTACATAAACCTGGAGTGAAGCTCTGTTGTCAGATCATGTGTCCCATTTTGGATTCTAAGGGTCTAATCACCCTAGATACAGTAGAAAGGATACATGTCATAGACTCTGAAGACATGGACTTGAGCATCCAGAGTTTGACATCAGTCTGGGAGTCCTGAAACCAATTCCTGCAGGTACCAGGACACTTGCATAACCTTGCTGATAAAACTGTATAAAACTGAATGACAGTGAAGGCCTTTGTAAACTGCTTGTCTGTTACACATAGTGTATGTCTTTGTAGCATGGTCACTGATTCCTGAATTCTCTTCCTGCTGCAGCAAAGCCAACACCGCTTGATTTAAGAAACAATGCTGTCATTGATGAGCTCCCCTTCAAATCACCTGTCACCAAGTCTTGGTCCAGGGTCAAGTGAGTATCTGTCGATGGAAGCAGGCACTTGGGATTGGGCGTCAAGACTTGAGTGGAGTGGTCGCTGGCCTCTGGGGGTCAAGATACCTGGACTTTAATGCTAATGCTGTCATGAGCTTTGTTAGGTTTCCCATCTGGCATAAACAACTCAAGAGAAGGAAAGAGTTATTTGGGCTCATGGTGTCAAAGGTTTTACTCTGTGGTCATGTGGCTCCCTTACTTTGAGGCTGATGGCAAGATAGAAACATCATGGCAAAGAAAGCATGGCAGCCAGGAAGCCATCAAGAAGCCTGTACTTGCAGGCTTCTTCCCCTCTGCTTTAGCCCCACCCAGGTCCCCAGCCTTAGACAGTACCATATGCCGGGGTCTTCCCGTCTCTGGTGCTGTACCACATGCCAATCATCTTTGGCAATGCTCTCACAGACACATCCAGAGTATGCGTTACTAATCTGGGTGTTTCTTGGTCTCGGGAATGTTTTTCCTCACCTATAAAGAGGAAATAATTAAAATTTCCCTGTATCAGATCTCAATCTGATAATGGAAGTGTGAGGCTCTAGAGGCCCAGGTCTGGGTACAGAAGGGTCAGCATTTCCTAGGGTTCACTGTCTTCTTTGTACAACAGTCACACCTTTAACTCCAGCTCCTCCCAGTACTGCCGTCCCATCTCCACACAGAGCATCACCAGCACAGACTCAGGAGACAGCGAGGAGAACTACGTCCCTATGGTGAGTCCTTGGGCATTCATTACAATGGCTCCTGTCAGAATCCTGCAGGACTGACCTCCCATTTCCCACTTCCCCACTTCCAAACTCAGCCCACTTAACTGAGCCTAGGACCACCTTGCTCTAAGTGTGAGTTAGCTTCTTGCTGCAGACCCTTCTTAAACACATACAGGTCAAATAGTGGGAGCTGTTATCAGCTATAAGAAAGACACAGCCCTAGAGCAGGTATGGTAGCATGCGCCTTTAATCCTAACATTTGGGAGGCAGGAGCAGGTGGATCCTGAGCTCCAGGCCAACCTGGTCTACATAAGCAAGTTCCAGGCCAGCCAGAACTACATGGGTGAGACCCTGTCTCCAAAAAAAAAAAAAAAAAAAAAACAGACACAAAAGGAAAGCAAGAGGGGGGGAGGGAGCGAGGGAGCGGGGGGGGGGGGGACACAGACCTGCCACAAGGAAGTCTATGTCTTAAAGAGCATGGCCTTGTGGGGGGGGGGGGGTGGGGGGGGGGGGGGGGGGGGGCGGGGGGGCCCCGGCGCCCGGGCCACCCCGGTTTAAAAAAAAAAGGTCCGGGCCACCCAAAAAAAAAGGGGGGGACCCCTTTTCCCAAAAAAAAAAAAAAAAAAAAAAAACAGACACAAAAGGAAAGCAAGAGGGAGGGAGGGAGCGAGGGAGCGAGGGAGGGAGGGACCCAGACCTGCCACAAGGAAGTCTATGTCTTAAAGAGCATAGCCTTGTTCTAATATTACTGTGCTGTAGGGGATGTGCCCAGTGCCCTTGAAAAAGGCATTGTTGGAGACACACATAGGTACGTAACTCCCTGTGATGAGACAGTGGTAGAGGTATAGGCACATGCAGAACACAGTAAGTTTCTGTCTGAGATCTTCACTGAAAAGGGCACAGCCGCCCAGCACCTGGTCAGGGCTGCAAAGATTGAGGAAAGAGGTCAACCATTAAAGCAGTTCTATTGCTTCTTTCACTAAAGTCAAACCTTGGGCAAGTCATAGACACAGACTGCTTTCCTAAAGCAGGATCCTGGCTGAAGACAGGGCCCTAGAACCTGTAACATGGAGAATGACTAAAGGAATGAAGGCTTGTCACCCAGACAGGTGACTCTTCAGGCCTCTGTGGAGCACCAACTGTGTGTGGCAAGGTGTGACAGAAAGCTCTGCAGCCAGCAAGGTGGGAGAATGGTGCTTCTCAGGGACCTGTAAACTGAGGTTGGGTCTTCTAGGAGAGACAGCACCTGAAACTTTCCCTAAGCCTCTAAAAAGGAAACAGCTGGGTCCATGAGATTATTACAGGTTTGGGAGTCAGAAAACATGCCTGGTTCCCATCTCATGACAGCTGTGTGTAAGCACAGTGACTCACAACCTAGGTTTTAGCTTTCAACAATATAAACACTAATGAAACCCACTTTTGAGGATTGTTGTGAGGACTTAAATGAGAATGTGAAGTCATAGTGCATGACTCAGAGCAGGCTTTCTGGCTCCCAGAGGTGGTTTTCTGGATGGTAGGTTGGGCTGTTTCCTAAACTCACTGTTTTTTTCCTTTTTGTAATAGCAAAACCCAGTGTCTGCATCCCCTGTTCCCAGTGGCACCAACAGCCCAGCCCCAAAGAAGAGTACTGGCAGTGTCGATTATCTGGCCCTGGACTTTCAGCCAGGCTCCCCAAGCCCCCATCGCAAGGTACCTGGGGGAGGGGGAGCCCACCCTCTCCAGAGTCACCTTCCTGTTCCTCCTCTCAAAGCAGTAGTCAAGTCCCCTTTACATAGACCTTTATCTGTCCACCCCCTCCCCATCTCCTTGTCATGGAGTATACCCACTGGGATTACTCAGGATTACCAAGGGAGTTAGTGACCAAGCCAAGACATGGATATCCTGCCTCCTATCTTGAGCTCTATTTTGAAGAGAACTTGCTGTCTGGATGGAGTACAGAAGCCTGATAGAGACACAGTAGCCCTTGGAAGGGACTTCTGGGCCTAGTAAAGTCTCCCCAAGAACTGCTCTCAGCCCAGGCAACAGTGGGGAGGACCACCTCAGCACAGCTCCCCTCAGGATGCTGTGAGTGCTCTCCAAGGGCTGGTGCATATTGTCACCCAACACATCCCTTTCCCTAGAGCAGCATGGCCAGAGGGAAGTAAGTGGAGGCTGAAGTAATAGCATACTGGTAGCAGGGTCTGTGAAAGGCAGGTGTGGGCTGAGAGCCGGAAAGATGTTGGCAGGCCTGGTGCCTCCAATGGATGATGGTCCACTTGGACTTGACCATGCTCAGCAAAGACAAGTCCTTGAGGTCGCTCAGCATGGCCATCTCCCTTCCCCTTGACACAGCACAGGAAGCCCCTTATCTTCTAGGTGACTCACAGCCATTCCCTTTGTTCCCTCAGCCATCCACATCATCTGTCACATCAGATGAGAAGGTGGACTATGTTCAAGTGGATAAGGAGAAGACCCAAGCACTGCAGAACACCATGCAGGAGTGGACAGATGTGAGGCAGTCCTCAGAGCCTTCCAAGGGTGCCAAGCTGTGACATGGGGATCCCTGAGGTCAGCGAGGGGCCAGGAGACAGACACTCGGACCTGGCTCTTCCCTGCTGCCTCCTTCCATCGCCTCCACGCCACCACTCTCAGCCTTCAAAGCACTCGATCAGGGACCCTTCCCCTGGAGGTGAGGGCCTGATGGAGACACTTCCTCTGCCACTCGAGGCCCACCGGTGACTTCTGTCAGTACTGGCTGTGCCTCCACCACCTTAGTTAGGAGCTATTGCCAAAAAGCCTCCTGCTCGGGACCTGATTGTCTGCTGGGACCATTGGAAGGCAGGTTGTGGCCCTGAGCCAGGCTCATACCTTGTATCTGCTCACCACTCTACCCTCTTCCCTCCACCTGGGGCTGCTTCTCTTCAGCCCCAAAGAACGAGCCAGGGAGCTGAGGACCAGCAGACTAAAATGGACATGGACTCTTACATCCCTGTTATTCCTGGCAGGGGAAAAGCAAGCTGCCACAAGAAGAAATGGTTGAGAATGAAAGTCAAAGATGGTGTGGTCTTGATGGACAACGAAATTAGGTTCCTAGACATAGAAGGGTAGCTGATAACCTGTATGGGTCCCTCACTGTCAGCCTGAGGCCATGTCAGGACTATTACCGTGGAATGGGAGAGGCAGAAGAATGAAGGACCAACAGGAAGGGAAAATTGATAATGACAAGCAGCAGGGCTTAGAGTGAAAGACATTATTGTAGTCAGGGCCTCTGAACCCTGGAGCTAGGGGACTCTACCACTCTGGGACAGGCAAGTCCTCTTCCCAGGCCCTGCTGGAGACAGATGGAACAGAGTGGGAATGCCAGTACAGTAGGGAGTAGGGAGGCTTGGAGGGAGGGAGGGGGAGAGGGGGAGAGAGAGAGAGAGAGAGAGAGAGAAGGGAGGGGTGGAGGGAGGGAGGGGGGGAGGGGGAGAGAGAGAGAGAGAGAGAGAGAGAGAGAGAGAGAGATGGAGGTGATGCAGGAGCTGAGGGGGGACCCTGAGACAAGAGTGTGCTGGGCATGGGGCATTTCAGGGAAAGGACACTGCAGCAGGGATGGCACAGAAAGTAAGTGTCTAGGAAGTCAGAGGGCACAGGCCATGCAGCAAGTAGGGAGATAAGATTGAAGGGCCTGACGGGGGAGTACAGCAGAGAGCAGAAGGGGAAGGAGTCACTTTGACCAAGGGCAGCTGTGTGCATGCAATGTGACACAATCTAGGGACTACATGGGGTTCTGGGGGGTGGCTTCTGTCAGGTTTCAAGACAGTACACTTGGCCTGGTGCCAGACCCAGTCTTCTCAGCTTTTCTCACCTCTGTTGTCCCTGGCTGCAGGGATTAGCAAAACTATTCTCTCTGGATTCAGAGGTCACCAGAGCAGGGGCTGGAAGGCAGGCATCAAAAGGACCCTAAACTAGGTCAAGGGGATTGAAATGTTTTTGTATTGAAAGTTCTTGACTACATTTTCGAACATTTCAGAAACGGGGCAAACCAGCATTCCATTTTGCCCTAAGTGAACAGATCTTTGTCCTCAAACTGTGACTCATGCTTACCTTTCAGCAACTAAGGGCACACACCTCACCAGGACAGCCCTTTTCTAGAACACCCCACCTGGGAGTTCTTTCTTCAGTAGTAGCCCATCTTCCCCACATAATGTGAGAAGCAGCTCAGATTACTTGGTAACAACTACCAAGGTGAACTGGAGATGGTCACAGTCAGAAAAAAGATAAGGACATAGACAGTAGTGACAGTTAAGAAAGGGAGAGAGAAGACTGATGGAGTGCAGGAGGAGGTAAAGGAGTTAGGGGAGGCTGGGTGGCAGTCAGAGGAGTGGAGTGGGTTAGAGAGGAAGGGAAAGCAGGGCTGGGTCTATGGAGGAGACGAGATAAGGGGAGCCTCAGCATTAGGGGTAGAAGGCCTTTGAGGGTGGAAGGCCAGCCACTCAGAAGTGGTGGCTGTAGTTGGTTGCCCTGGGCAGGGTTGCAGGGTGCTGGCTGGCTCCCCCCACCCTGATGGTTCCCTGAACATCCCTCTTCACCAGGGCTCTCATATAGCTGAGCTTTACACTGGTGCTGCACGAGCCCACACAGGTCTGGGTACTGTTGGCCTCAGCAGCTACCCCATAGACCCCAGAGTGCATGTTCTGAGCTGAGTGCCATGTGAGTAGAACCAGCTGCCATCTTCCAAGACTGAGGTGTTTCGTCTAGTTAGTCTCAAGGCCTCTGTCCTGGTTCCTGTCACAGTGTTACTACCCAAACCCTTATAATGGAAGTAGGGGTGGTGATGGAAGCAAGGTCTGTGGGAAGCTGAGCTCTGCCTAACAATCCTCAGACTGTCAGCCATGTCTAATGTGCCCATCCTCCAGCCTCCAAATAGGAAAAAACCGATTCCATTAAAAACCAATCCTTTGGCCTGCCCATGGCTCAGAGTTCCCCTCCCCTGGCGCCTGCAAGAACTGAGACCCGAGAATGAGGATGGTTTCTCAGCTAGTGTAGCTTCCACAAAGGCTTGTCCTGCTGGGATCCACCTCCACCCCTGCAAGGTTAAAGCTGAATGGGAACGAGGAGGAGGAGATGATGTCTCCTTGGGACTTGGTTTGCAGGTCTGTGAACTGGGATGGACCACAGCTGATGCTCTGTTATTTTAAGAACTTGAGGGATACTTTGAAGGTTAGGGTCACCAGGAAGTGGCAGCCCCAGAGCATTAGCCAGTTAATTCCATTCCTCTCTACCTGGATTTTGCTGGCATCTACATTTGACTCCCAGAACAGAAGCACAACCATTCTGAAGTTATTGGAACATGAACTCAGGTCCAGTCTCCCTTTGGGCTTTATCTGCCAGTGCCCACAGTCCCCACCGTCGCTCCTTCCCCACCCTACAACTGAGCTTTGGAGGAGTGCAGGACAAGAGAGAAAGTTGTTCTTCCTTTCCGTCTGGGCCTTCAGCTGTAACAGTATGGGGAAGTAAGGATGACCTTATAAGGTCATCATTCTGGGACTCCCCCTGTTTGGAATCTGGAACCAGCAGGACCAGCCAGACCCAAGGGTACCTGCTGGTGGTTTGTGCTGTGGTATCTGGTGGTGTGTGTTCTTGTGTAATTTGTTCGCTATTTGTGTCTTGAATCTTAGAATCATTTCAAACAAATTATTTGTTGGGAAGAGAAAATGACCTAGAAGCAGCCTAGTCTTATGTTCTTGTCTTATTACCATTTAAGATTGACATTTAATTTTTCAAATCACTGTTGGTGCCTAATCACTTAAGTTATTAATTTATTCTGTTTTCAAAAAAAATTTGTAACATGTATTTATCTTTGAGGTCTGGGGTGGGGTGGGAAACATGCTCAAGTGGGTCATGTTTTTGCTGTTGTGACAAATGGTACAGGCCTGGAGCTTGCAGGTCCCTTTTTACTATGGTGTAGAAACAGGACAATAAAGTCCTTTAGAAATACAACCCAGAGTGGGCAGCTAGAGTCTGTCTAAAGGGAAGTGGAATCCAACTTATCCCATCCTGGGCAGCCTCGGGAACCCATGCACAGATATGTATACCTTCCCTGACAGGAAGCTCTTTAGGATCCTTTCCTGAATGATCCCAGGAGCCAGTGTGCCAGTCTACTCCATCTTCATGGGCTGTAACTGGGTACTTTTCCAGGCTAGGAATGCACCTTTACTCAAAGGCTCAGGCAGAGGCAGGACCAGCACAGGTTCCCTGCCAGCTCCAGAGTCTAGCATTTGGCCCCAAAACTCCATCAACAGCCCTTGAAACTTTTGTCACATCACTGCCACCATCTCTGTACATGCCTACTGCTACTTTGTTAGGAGGATGGGTAGGCATGATGGGACAGGGACTCGGTGATGTTAGGACCTTGCCTGCACACAGCTACATCTGTGTCCCTCTTTCCTTCCAGCTTCAAGACCGGGACTGTGACCTGAGGAAAGAGCTGCCTTCCAGCTTACCTCAGCTCATGCCATGACCTCCCCTGCCCCCTCTTCTGAGAGGAGGAACAGAGGAAGCTCTTGAGAACATATTTCAGGGCAACTCAGAATTCTTGGAATCTGAACAATATCCAACTATTGGGTTCTCAGGCCCACCTGACAAACTAGTCCCCTCCAGTATCCCAGGGGCATCCTCCAGGCACACTCCCTTGCCCTTTGCCCAGGCAGCTGCCAGCTCTAGTTTCTGGGTTCTCTGAAGTCTGCTACATCTCAAGTCCTCAGGACAAGGGGACATTCTCACCTTACCAACTGGGAGCCCAGGTCACTGTCAGATTGCCCAGACACAATAAGCAACTCAAGGGGGCAGCAGATACCACAAGCCTGAACAGGAAAAACATCCTCCACAGGCTTCAGAGATCAGAGTTTTATTCCTGTTTGAGAACACCATCTCCTCTCCACTGAGAAGGGGCTATAGCAGTGTCAGGGCACAGTGAGGTTGTGTGCATGCCACAGTCCACACCCACCCAACCCTATCAGAGGAGCCAAGCCAGCCAGCTTCCTCATATGACAATGGCTTTCTGACAGACGAATGTCTTTGCAGTAAAATAAGGACTCTGGCATCTCAGGCACTGAGGCAGGCTAGGGAGGGCTGTGGAGGGGGGCTCTCCCACAGTGTAGCATTGCTTGGGGTAGAAGAGGGAACAAGTAAAATCCTTGTCTCTGATCCAGTGCTACATTGCCTTCCACCTACATGCCTCAAAAGCACACAATGGGTGAGACACCCCTGAGGTACCCACATGCCTTGCCTTAGAAACTGTTTTAGAGAAACGAAGGTAGGCAGGGGGGACACAGCCCCCTTGGTGCAAGGGCTTGACTCCCACTGTGCTTCTCATATGGAGCAAGAGCCAACCGAGTAAGGGAACTAGGAGTGCTACTGGACCAGGATGCTGAGCCGATGCCACCCTGGCCCGAGTCAGCTGGGCTTTCCAGGACAGGGCCTTTGGGGAGGCAAAGCCCAGAGCAAGCCTATCCAAGTTGCTCGAAGTTAGCCAGGACACTTAAATGTAAAAATTTAATAGCACAGATGCCAAGACCTGAGGCCCATCCTCAGAGGCCCAGGTCTGCTTTCTGTATCTGGCTTTTCTGCACACTTCAAGCTGTAGACCGACATCCCAGATGTTCCCTCTCCATCCTTCTTGCCCTCAGAAGGGTCTGCTTCACTCTGGGATTGCCTCCACAGCTACCTTGGACCCCAACTGGCAGAGCACTCTGCTTAGGCCCTGGGCCCCACCTGGCCCCTTCTGAGGTTTGCTGTGGCACCCCCACAGGTGGGAGCAGTCTGAAGAGGGTTCCCATTAGAAGACCAGTCTGTGAAAGTCGCCACCATTGCCACCTGCAGGGTTGCAACCCCCTGGAGAGCCTTCATCCTCATCCTTGTCTTCATCAAAGCCCCTCCCCCAGTATGGAGAGGCAGGGAGTGTGGAGATGTAGGCTGCCCTGCTCCGGGCCTCCTTCTCCTGCTCCTGGAAAAAGAGGGCAGGAAGGAGGCTTAGTATTCAGGTCCCCTACACATCCAGCACAGCATGGCATAGCCAGCATCTCTAGGTCCCCAAGGACCTGGCCCTGCTGAGGAGCAGGATGGAGGATAGGCCCATCTTTCCACCCGTTTAGGCTTCAAATTCTACCCCCTCCTCCCAATGACAAGTCCAGGTCCTTGGAGGAAAAAGACTTGTTCACACTAGACAGTAACTAGCTGACAAAGACCCAAAGTAAAAACAAGAGGTCCTGGAACCTCAAGAAATCCTCTGCAGAGTTCCTGGCATCAGCTGTCAACTCACTGCCTCTTGGGTTTTTTTTTGGGGGGGGGGTTGTTTGTTTTTTGACAAGGTTTCCTTATGGCCCCAGCTGGCCTGCAATTCACTATATAACCTGGCTAGCTTCTATCTCAGAGATCCACCTGCCT